TATACAAAAATTTAGTCTAAATATAAAATACGTATGAGATAGGATAAAAATACGTAGTCCGAAGAGTTCCGAAAGGGCAATGAATGAACATAAAATAGAGCAAAGTTTAGCTTAAATTTTGAAATATCCGAAAATTAACCAAAAAATATAAGATATATTTGGTATGATAATTTATAGCGTTGGCATCATTCAGATAATAAATATGTGCATATAAAAATAAAATTTATATGCAGATGCGTGCAACTAGTAGTTGGTTTCGATCTGAATTTTAAACACTGGGGTTAAGGTTAGTGACTGGACTGTTAGTGTTAGAGGGCATTTTAACGTAGATTATTTTTTGTTAGAATCTCTAAGTGGTTTTATAGGCAAAATTCTAAGTTTATGATTATACCCGTGTTTTATATACACTAGCGCTAGTGTACAAATAAAAATTGTTATAAAAATAAATTGATTTAATTCGGCTATAAACCAGTTTTAAATTCGGGTTTATTATGAATATATATTGCACACAACCCAATTTAAATTCGGTTTTACAGCTGTTTTCATAAATTCTGGGACAACTGGTAAAAATTATTTCGGCCGAATTCAATAAGTTTTTGAATTCAGTGTTATCGGAATTTGATTTCGGCGGCTGATCAATTTTTATCAGTTGTCCCAGAATTTATGAAAACAGCTGTAAACTCAGCCCAATTTGGTTTTGCCAGTTTGAAACCGGAAACGTGACCTGAGGCAAGCACGTGCCCTCGTGATTTCGGGTATTTCCAAATTTAGGCTTCCCGGCCCGATTTCACCGATATCACCGATCGGTTCGATTCCATCGATAACCCCAATCTAAAGGATCTGTACAATCAGAACAATTTTTAAAGCTGCTCGATACGTAAGTATCGAGGCAGCTTTTGTCTCGAATCATCACGAGACCAACTTGTGATATCTCTGATTATGTTCGGTCTAATGATCGATCAAGTGATCGATCAGGGATGTTAGATAAGTATGTAGTAATCCTTACGTAAGATGAAGTAATGGGAAAGTTGAAATAATTAGTTGAGTAAGTATGAGGTAATTAGTTAGTGTATAGGTATATTAATAATTGATGAGGCATGTAGGAGAAATAGTTTTGTTTCTTCTGCGAACCCGACATTCGTTCTGGTTACATCGACCCTCCCTCCCTACTGTTACGGGTGAATTGTATCCTTTTAATATAATAAACACGAAAATATAAGATTTTAGGTGATAAGGCAACTCGCCAGAGACGTGACGATGGTGATTTGACAATAATTCGATTTAAAAAGATTTATCAATGTGATTTATTCAATATTATATATTAGAAATATTAGAATCCCGTAGGATAGGATGATGTTTACATGAGGGAAATTACAGAGCTTTTATAACTTTCACTAAACTTATACTTAAGAGGCTTAGGAAATAAATCGGATCTTTCATCACGAAAAAATCAAGGAAGAATCACTATAACTAAGGGGCTTACAATGATAAGTATGACATGATTATAATAATTAAGGCTTTGCCTTTACAATATTTTATATTATAACTATTTCTAACTAATTCTTATTCTCGGTTTCTTCTCTTTAGATTTCTTGAATTTCGGACTTTCTTCTTTACGCGTTCAGGTTCTTCGGATTTTGCGATGGTTATGAGGCTAATTCGGCCGAAGAGTTATTATCAATCTAAGCCTTGAGTTAAATTACCAACCTGTTTACTAGTTTAATTCGGCCGATAAGCCTCAACCGATAAACCAGTATTTCTTGCTTTCGATTCTCTTTGATCACGGGTTTGCTGCGTCGATTTCGAAGATCGCTTTTAGCCCGTGACACTAAGTTTTTTCCGGAGTGGCCTGTCGGGACGACAGTCATATGGGTGCTAGGGTTGATGGGTTGATGTGATTGTTCTAAGCATATGGCCTGTCGGGACGACAGTCATATGGAGTGCTAGAGTTGATGTGATTGTTCTAAGCATATGGCCTGTCGGGACGACAGTCATATGAGGTGCTAGGGTTGATGTGATTATTCTAAGCATGTGGACTGTCGGGACGACAGTCATATGAAGTGTTAGCATTGATGTGATTGTTCTAGGTATATAGTCTGTCGGGACGACAGTTATATGAGGTTGATGTGATTTGTCCTAAGCATATAGCCTGTCGGGACGACAGTCATATGAGGTGCTAGGGTTAATGTGATTGTCCTAAGCATATGGCCTGTCGGGACGACAGTCATATGAGGCGCTAGGGTTGATGTGATTGTCCTAAGCATATGGCCTGTCTGGACGACAGTCATATGAGGTGCTAGGGTTGATGTGATCATTCTAAACATATGGCTTGTCGGGACGACAGTCATTTGTATAAGTTCTAATGCATTCTATGGTTCTATGACCTGTTGGGACAACAGTCATTTGTACTAATTTTTATTGCACTTTATGACCTGTCGGGACGACAGTCAAAAGAAAAGAAAAAAGAGAAAATGTGAACGATACTAAAAAGGTTGCGTAAGTTGCTCGATTAGCAGAAGGGAACACCCAAATGTATTTCCATAGTAAGTCACAGAAATGAGAGACAAAACAAACGATATGATAGATATTACAGATATTAGCTATACAACCGATTGTAAGTATCTGACCGATTCTACGAATGTAAATAGATAAATTCACAATTATAAATAAAGGCTTTTTTCGGCCCTTGGGAAGAATAAATCCCGCCTTTGCTTTTATTAAAATCACTTAATCATATAATTACTTTCATATATCCTACAAAATTACTTATGATAAATCACTCAATCACTATTCGTATATCTCTTAATTATATCTAATAAATCATTCACCGCTAAGTCTCGTATATCAAACTTAACGTTTGATAAACACTTTCGTTACGCCCAATACTAAGACATCCCAAAGATAAATATTCTGGGGTGAAATGTCTAAATGTTTCTGAGATGCAGGGTCCTGTTTCCAAATTCTAAGAAAATTATTTAAAGTAAGACTATAAAAGACCTAAGTTCTGTCCCGAGACTATACTATACCACTCGACCAAATCTAACACGCCTTTTTCGACCTTACGTAACCTAAATTTTGGTTACACGGACCTCCTAACGACCTAGCGACAGACTCGCCGATTCTAGGGATCCCGATTTCTACGTACTAATAACAATGTTAAATTTTAAATTGTGAATACTAGATTTCTTACCAATTAACTAATTATGTCCCAATAACTTTTTTAATTGAGTCAGAAATTATATATTTGTGGCTTCAAGATTTATGAAATAATGTTTTTTGCTTTACTGATGCTTTATGATGATTCATAAGAATCCTTTTTACTTTTTACATCATTAGATGATGGATTAGATTTAAACATTTTTAAGTTAATTTTACAATGCATAATTTTTTAACTTTTTAATACAGTAGTCATTAATTATTACAAACACATAATATCAAGATTTATTAGAGAGTATTTATTTTTTTCTCTTAAGGCCTATATGATCGAACTAACTGAATTGCATTGAGTTAAGGCCTCGCAAAACTAATTCTTCGTTTTACATAATCTACCAACCCAATTTTTCAAAAAAATTTTTCAAAATTTTTTTTTAAAGTTCCAATCGTTCAAATTTTTCCATTTTTGCTATTTAATTTTTTCAAAATTCACCCGATTGTGGCCTTAATTTCTCGATATTACAAAAATCCGACCCGCCGACTGGAATTTTAAACTTTGTGTCCTAAAAAGATAATTAAAACAAATACATTACATTCAAATAATCAGAACAACCGTCTAATTTATACTTATTTTGGACACTGTACATTTTTTTACTATGACATTTTTCATATAAATTAACAGATTTTTTACAATAATAATTGATACATAATGCTTCGCAAAGTATTCAAATTTCGTGCATGTCTAATAATTCCAATTCACATTGCAATATGAAATATTCAAAAATGCTACCTTTGCATCTAAAATAATATTCATATTAATTTATAGTTCTGTGACAAAAAATAGAAATATGCACTAATGTAGTGTAATAAGTGTTCATAGGCAAGAAAAATTTTACGGTATTGAGGTTTCATGCCTTCTCTTTCTTATTTGGTAGAAAGAATTCAAGTGCTATAATATTTTATTGTTTTATCCCTATTATCATATTCACTATATGTGTATATGTATTTTGAGTTGATGTATAAATTAAACACCTCTTCGAATACGATGTATGAAAAGGCTGCTCCACAGGCAGACAGACACGCTAAAGATCAAATATTTAATATAGTCGCACTCCCATATAATCACACTGTCGGGACGAGCTTATGTAGAGAGTAATTTTTATATGTTTAACAGTAGTTGGTTCAAAAAAATAATGTGCTTATAAAGACGATGTGCTTATATAGAATTATATGGGAGTGCGACTGTACATATAAGCCATTTCAGGAGTTTTAGACTTCAAGAAACAAACTTAACCAGGTTACGAAAACCATTCATGTTATATTTACAAAAAAATACTTTTGGTAAATTGAAAATAGAAATGCATCTGGGCAAACAACAAGTTCTTGAATGAAGCATAATACAGAACGATAGAAAAGAAAAGCAATATGTAAGGGTTGAGGCATATGATGAAAGTAACATTCCATAGTGATAGATTTGAGAAGTTTTAAACGACCAACATAATATTTATTATGACTTGCATATTCGATCAAATTTTTAGACTGCAGTTCACCTATAATTTTGTTAGCCGTAGCTATGCGTAAAATTTTTGTAAATTTTTAATATAGAATAATAATTTTCAACGATAAAAGTAATCACATCAAAGACTGCTTCAGGTTATTCGTGAATTGAATAATAGGATCATATATCAGCTCAAAAAATAATTTAATTTTACTTGTAATATGCTTATAATATGTTTATAATTATACAATATGAGAATGAAAATCATAAAATTAATTTTACATACAGTACTTAAATACACTAACATTATTTTTTGTCGAAAATATATACTAAAATTATGTAACTAGCATTAATCTAAAATAGCATTTTCATGTTCTTGCTGTGTTCGTAACTGCTGCTGCATAATTGCATTTTCTTTCTTTGATAAGCGTTTGGAAGCAGCCTCCGAATCGTCGGCACCTGAATATTGATTTCTATTGAAATCTTCTGCCTCATCTTCAGGCCGTCTATATACAGCAAGTACATAAATTCCACGGCTCATATTTCGGAAGCAAACGATGGAATAATATACAGTAATTAATACAAGAACGAAAGTTGTAACTAAAAAAAAGGTTAGGAGTCGTCGAGTAAATTCGTACGGATCTAATTGAAATATATATATATATTAAAATGGTGAGGAATAGACGTTTTATGAAATCGATTTGAAAAAAGAAAATAATACCAGATCCATCTGATACAGGAAGATTAACTGTTATAAGTCGATAAACCCAGTAAATCAACGATACAGCATAAAGATTGATCGCTGATAGCAAAAGATATTTCTTTTCTTTAATGACAGAGAACCAAGCTATTACCAACATAAGAGTACCAAAAAAGAAGACGAGGACAATCTCCACTACAGTAGAATAATAACCAATTTTTGGAGAAGGTATTAGCTGTAAGGCGTACGATCCAATAAAGAATATGTCCAATTTAACCAAAGTCTGTAAAATTGTAAGACTCCAAAATGCGTCGCGGACTCGAATATCAGCGGAATAAATTTTATAGTTTACCCAACCAAATTCTTTGGTGAGCAAGTAAGACATGAAAGATAGATATATAGGAAAAATAGATATTAAGGAAATGATTGTATATTCGATTGGTCTCATCCTAGCTTCATAATAAATTTTTGGTGCATTCCTATTATCTTTAGGAAAAATTGGATTAATTGGCGCATATGTTGCGTTCTGAGTTCCTTGATCTTCGAGAATCTCGTGTTGATAAAGTTGTATTCCCGCATATGCTAATGAAAGAAGATTAAATATTACAAGGGCTACTATTTCGACAGAATTACGATGCCAGAGAGCATCAACTACTAAAAGTACTTGAAAGAATAGTGCAAGAATAAATCTTGGAAATGGTTAAAAAATATATATATAAATATTAGTATTTTTTTTAAAAAAATAAATTAACGATAATTACTTACATTGAATGATAAATTAAATCAGCCTCGGATATTCCTTCACCAGCTAAGTCCAATATAAATTGAAGGACAAAATTGACATGGAAATAAATAACAAAAGCTTCTAAGATGGTGATTATTATTGCTTGCAAAATGATAGAAATAAGCGTGATTTTGCCTATAACGGATAGCTTCCACATTTTTATATAATTGATGAGTTTAAGAATGAAATAAAATTTGATGTTATTGCTTAAAGTGATTTATTAATGTGCTTTATGAAAAAAATGAAGGAACTCTCGTAACAAAAGAATCCATCATGTACGATGATAATTTTGTGGTATTTATTTTGGTTATAATATTGCTAGAAGTTATTGGGCTGATGATGTGTTTTTTTGGCGTTATCAATCGAAAACAGCGAGTTAGTCTTTCCGACAAAAATGGCTTCGTGTAACCGACGTTTAAGGTTAGAGTTGGTTGAAAAAGGTGTTGTTAGATTTGGCTGAGTTACAAATAGTAATAGTTGGGTAGTTTTGTAAATGTAGGTTTAGTGAACTATATATTGTACGTATGATATATTATTTTGTAATAAAGGCAACTTTGGGATATTAAGACTTTTATTATGAGCAAAGTGAGAATTTCCTTTTCGAAGGGCTAAAATGGCCTTTGTTTATAATAATGAAACTATCATCTCTATGAATTTAATCGTTGTTATAACCACTATGAGCTCCATTATTTTCATTATCCCTTCTATATGTCTTATATCGCCTATACGTTAAATGGGTGGTCGCTCAATTCCCCAAAAGCTATTTACATTTTTCCGACACCGCAATGCCGACATGATATTTCATCCACAGCATATTTTTTTCGATAAGACATATATTCAACATTATATATTACTGTCAGGAAATGTCTTGTCTAAGAAAAGGATTATCAAAAAAAATGTAATGTCAAACATGTCTTATCAAAAAAATGAGCTGTGGATGATATATCATGTCGGTATTTGCGGTGTCGGGGAAATGAGTTGGCGGGTAAATAACTTTGTGCCGTAACCGTAATATGTCATATACCATATATTAATATCGGCAATACAAGCATGGTTAACACTTTATTGGATTTTTGCTCACATGTCTGCCGTCAAGTGTCACGTTTCCGGTTGACTATTCCTGATTAAGAAAATATATAAGTATCTGCGTGACGTTGTCGCGCAAAACCAAGAACGGAAAGTATGATATCATATTTACGAATAAAATGAATAATTATAGAGATAATTAAAAAAAAAATGAAAGGATCTAATACTACTAAAGCACTATGCGCTAACTCCATGCTTGTCATTATTTATGCAACCTGCAAATGCAAATAAAATAAATAGATATGAACTAAATTAAATTAATATTCTTTTATACTCACAAAAAATTAACGTGAATACGGTAAACAAATCAAATAGTAAATATTATGAGTACGTAGCTTATTTAAATGTTTAGATTAATGAATATCGATATGGAAAGTTCTAATTGTATACGTAATGTATGATTGAAAATCTGTGTAACATGCCAATCAAACCAGCGTAAAATTAGGCCTTAGTTTATATTAGGGTAAGGGTGGGTTTTGGATTGAGGATTAATTTATGCCAAAATTTTTTTCTGCTAGAACTCCAAAAGGTTATTTCATGATCGAAATTTTAAGATAAAGACAATTTTTAAGGAGATAATTTTATTTTACACTTGATTGTGCAATATGATTTATAATACCTGTGTACAGTACATACACGCATAGAAATTCTCTTCTTTATATTAACCGATTGGAATTAAAAGTAATACTCATTAATAACATGTTTTAAATACTTAGATTAATAGAATGTTTTTAATACTAAGCGCTGTAAAGTAAATGAAATTAAATAGTAAATACGTAACTCTAATATCTTTTTATTTGTTTATTTATTTATTACTTATTTTTTTTTCCTTTGGCATGATTGCCACAGGATCGTAGGACCGTTTGCTTATTTATCGATTTTATTTTACGGGGCATTCTAATTTTGAAGTTCCCTATATTTTTTGCCTATTTTATCTAACCATTGTTTACAGGAATTTTACTGGAAGTATCCTTTTTTCTGGATCGTCCAGGTTTTAACCGGAATTTCTTTATAGCGTCACATGAACTTAAGTTGCCTTCAATCGCAAGATCACCGGTTCGAGTCATATTGGGACCCGGATTACCTTATTGTTTTAAACAATAAGTACGTATGTATGTAATCAACATTTCTACCATTTCGAAATCATGTAATTACGTCATTTGTTTACTAGCACTAAACAGATTAGCCTAAACTAACCTATCGCCTAACCCTAACACTAACCCTAACTCTAACGTAGGCCGAACACTTAATCATGTGATGTGATTATCATAAATATATCACTGGGTTCCTTGATCCCGCTTAAATAATATATATCGATATTGGGGTTTCGGAATTAATGATTAGACGTCCGATTTCAGATAAAATGAGTGACGTATTTGTTTCAAAATAAATTCTATTTTTTTAATGTATATACATTTACATAATCGCTTACCGATGAATGTTTATCAAAAAAGCCAATTTTATTACTGGCTATGCATATTTAATTTTCTAATTCGGAATTCTAAAAAAGAAAATAGGATCTTTCTATTTATTTTTAAAAAAAGTTAATTCTGAGGGGGTTTCAGACCTAAGGCTCAGGTTTCTGTATTTGATTTAAATTAGTGACGTATTAATTTTGTAATCAGTGATCTATTTATTTTTATTTGCAAGCCAATTATATAATAAGATATAATATACATCATCAAAAAAGTTTGTTTATTTTATCTCCAGATAACTCCTTTTTCATTTTCTGATTTCGAAATTTCTAGGGCTTTTCAAACTCCACTTATTTTCAAAATAAGTTAACTCTGAAACCCATATAATTTATAATAGTAATAGTTTTTAAACAGCTTGAATTATAAATAAGATATTAGGATTCCTAGGTTCGGTTTGGTTTCAATATAGCGGTTTTATCAAACACAGACTCAAATCATAAATTTTGAAGATTTTCAAACATGAACTGAAAACAAAGTTTATTATTCCAAACTCAATCCAAATTCAATCCAGACTCAGACACGACTAATAATTTAGTTTGAGGTCTACAAATATGTTTGGGTTCGATGAGATAATCTAACTAGCCTGATTACTTTAAGCAAAAAATTAATACAATTGGTTATTTCAAACCAATTTAATACAGTAATATAGCCCATTTAAAAGGTTGCAGAAAATTGAGTAAAATTTTTTCATCAATTTTTTAGTGGTAGCCTATTTCGATAATGGATTTATAATTAAAGCGTAAATACTTTCAAATAATCATCAACTTCTATTTTGGTTTATTCGTTCTTGAATTGTTATATCAGGATCGCAATAATAATAAAGATTTATAAACTTAAAGTTTATTTTATATTAATACATGTATAAGTAGCGCTCTACAACTTTAAATTTAAATTTTAAAATCAACAGTTTGTAGATTAAATATATTAGTAAAACAAGAAATAAATAATAAATATAGTTTGCTTCAAATATTTTAATTAATAAATAATTATTACACTTTTTGCTGAATCGATTTGAATAAGAGACTGCTTATTAAACAAATTAACACAGATAAGGGTTGTTTTCAAATACATCGATTAATAAATTATTGTTACGCTTGCAGTTATATTAATCTAAATAAATGAGAAGCGGCCTACTGATTAAATCAAACATGAATATGAGAAAGTTAATGAGTAACTTATACATAAAAGTACTACTAATTATCAGTTTCTTTAGTAATGGATAATTTATAATCTTAATAAGATACAAATTACAGAATAGACTATACTTATTAATTTTATAAATAGCTTATTCGTGCCACAAAAATTTAAAAATTTGTTAGTCCTGTGATCTCCGAGCAAATTCGTACGTATTATGATGTTTAGTACAAGAAATACAACAATCGTCATTTTATATAGAGTTCTAATGATTTTAACTGGTAGCAATAAAGGTCATATCTAAATGCTCTGAATAGTTTATTATTAATCTTTTCTAACATTATATTGGTTCCGCTCGGTTGTGACATGACCATGGTACTCTTTCAAATGCACATAATCACAAATCAAATAAAAATAAATAACATGTTTTAAATTCCAGAATACTATATTTCATATTGATAACCTCTCAATAAACCATAGCATAGATAACCAAAATTGTGTGGATAGGATGTATTTTAAAAACTTACTTTCCTAACTATCCCTAATAATTCTGGTGTACTGTATCCGGATATTTTACGTAAAAGCCACTAAACGATCCTTTTTTTATACATATTTTGTATTAATATATCTCAATACTGGTATAACACTGGACCAGTATGGTACATATACGGTACAAATTTTAAATAGGCGTATTTTACACCTCCATACTGTACAGATTTGGTCATCGCAATTTCTTTAAAAAAAAAGTACGTAATATAATTGTTCTTTACACCAAAAAATATTCATATCAGCCTTTAAAAGGGATAAATATAACCACGGTATATTCATAATTAAACCGAAAAATTGGTTCTAATAATTTTTTTACTGATTTGATCTATATAATCAACTGAATTTCATTTTATCCTGAACATGAACTTTATATAGGTTGCCATGTAGATTTATAATAAATAAAAATTAAAATTTATAAATAGGTAGGATTAGGGTGAGGATTAGAGTTTAAATTAACTCAAAATAGGTAGTTTTTATATATTACAATTTTACAATAACTTTATTTGCCTACCTATATTATAGATGATAAGAGAATTATTAGCATAATTGGGAAAACCGTTATATTGAAAATCAAAGGGACTTAATCAATTTAATTAGCATAATCAATTAAAGATATTTATCCGACAGGTCCTATGTGCGCACTAGACGTTTTTTGTATATATTATTCGATCACTTTCTAATCATGTGAAAAC